TTTTTGAATCAAGAGAAGCGAGAGATGTTCTCTACCATGAAGACTCCTAATGTCAAGCTTGCATGGCTAACTTATGAATTTAACAACCAATAAGGCAGTTGACTTATGACTTTATTGTGTTTATGTTGGTTGACTTATGACTTTGTTGCGGTTATGTTGTTTGGATAATTCACTTTATTGCAATGAATTAATATTTGGACTTCATTTACATCATAGATTATGATTAATTGGGAGTGTTGATGATTATAATTATACATTGCAGGTTTATTTGAAAATATGGACAATCCAGATGATGAAGAGGCGGAGATTAACCTATCTATATGTGCTTCTGCACGAGCAATTGAATTATATTATATGAAATATATTCATAAAAATCCTTGTATGGATTCTCCACAAACAGGTAATATCTGGTTGATGGAATTATTACATGGGAATGATAGGCGATGTCATGCCATGTTAAGGATGGAGAAAGATGTATTTTACAGATTATCTAATGAGTTGCAATCTAATTATGGGTTAAGGGGTTCTAGGAATATGAATTCCATTGAGATATTGGAAATGTTTGTACACATGCTAGGACATGGTGTGAGGAATAGGTTAGCACAAGAAAGATTTCAACACTCGGGTGAGACAGTGAGTAGATATTTTAGTTACATGTTGGATGTTATATGTCGTATGGCAATGGATGTCATCAAACCGATGGATCATGAATTTAGTGATATTCCACAAGCAATATTGGGAGATTCTAGATATATGCCTCATTTTAAGGTAAAAATTGCATCTATCACTTCTCTCTCATTTTTGTTGCTAATTATAGTTATACACATTGAAAATTTTGTCCAACTATCATTTTTAGGATTGTATTGGGGCTATAGATGGAGTACATGTTCAAGCTTCAATACCACCTCAAGATCAAGTACCTTATATTGGTAGGAAAGGGATGCCAACTCAAAACGTTATGGCCGTATGTAACTTTGACATGTGCCGGGTGGGAGGGCACTGCACATGATACAAGAGTGTTTCTTTCGGTTCTACGCAATGAAAATTTAAATTTCCCTAAGCCTCCAAGCGGTAAGAATTATGGTCAATTAACCTTTGTGTTTTTCATTACTTACTTAGTCCAATTATATATATATATATTAAGAAAAATGAATGTTGTATTTCACATGGAAATATTATTTAGTAGATGCAGGGTACCCACAGATGAGAGGTTATTTGGGACCATATAAAGGCGAAAGGTATCATCTCCCGGATTTTCGTAGGGGAAGCCAACCAACTGGTTATAAAGAGGTATTCAATCATGTTCATTCTTCTCTTAGGAGCGTTATTGAAAGAACCTTTGGAGTATGGAAGAAAAGATGGAAAATTTTAAGAGATATGCCTAATTATCCATTCAACAAGCAAGTGAAGATAGTCATTGCTACAATGACACTTCATAATTATATAAGGAGGCATGCCCAACATGATAGACATTTTGATGCTTCAAATGATATCTTAAGTGAAGAGATAGATGAGGATGTTGATGTACAACAAGAACTTCATAGTCTTAATGACAATGGAACACAAGAGATGGAAGCATTGAGAAATAGCATCGCTACAAGTTTAATGAATGCATCTAATTAGCTTCTTTTATATTGTAGTGATCTATTTA